TATATTGTTGGATGAGGAGTTTGAGGCTCTCGTTGGTGATTTTGGTTTGGCTAAAGGTATGGACTGCAGAGATACACATGCCACTTCTGATGTACGTGGCACCATTGGGCATATTGCCCCTGAGTATCTCTCCACGGGGAAGACATCGGAGAAAACTGACGTTTTTGCTTATGGTATTATGCTTTTAGAGCTAGTCACTGGGCAGAGGGCGTTTGATCTGGGTAGGTTTGCTAATGATGATGATTTTATGCTGCTTGATTGGGTAAGTAGCTATATGCATTATATACATTTCATTCACGATTTGGTAAGCCATGCAAATTCAACTTTCATAGAGATCTAAGCTGGAATTCAAAGCGTATACTGCTAGATATTTCATACTAGTTTCGTGATTTTCTCCCAACTATAAACACCAAAAATATGATATAATTGCTCTGTACGGCTCACAGTTTATAGGTCTTACGTGTACGATAGTCAATTCAGTATTCTATTATAAAAATTGTAAAGGATCTTCCTTTTACTGGAAATTTTGTCATATACTTGATTTGACATGCATCTCTGTATGATTATCAGTTTAAAGGACTCCTAAATGAGAGGAGATTGGACAGGCTTGTTGATCCTGACCTGGAGAACAACTATATTGAAATTGAAGTTGAGCAGCTTTTCCAACTCGCACTTCTTTGCGCACAGGCCTCCCCCTTGGAACGACCTAAGATGTCCGAGGTTGTCAGAATGCTTGAAGGTGACGGCTTAGTAGCAAAATGGGATGAATGGCGAAACATTGAGGTGGCTCGACATGAGCTTGAACGCATCCACCGCAACACCCTGTTTGGACATGGGTCGTTCACTATACCGAAGATCTTTGTTCTGTAGAGTTATAAGCTTTTTGTATGCACTTATTGTTCATTCTTCTGTAAGTTCGACGTAAAATTAGTATATCACTAATTGTGTATATAAATCTTTCTGGGGTCAATTCAGTTGATCGCTTTAGTGAAATAGTTTCATTTGTTTTTGTTTCCAGTTACCAAAATTAGAACTTGAAATTGCTGGGCCTAGTAGTGTTTATGGTTCAAAAAATTTGGGAATTTTGTATATACAAACCATTTCACAATAGAGCTCTGACATTTGAAATTAAAAATTTTGCAATAAAGATTGCAAAATCTTTTTTTTACGGTAATTCTTTGTTTGATAAGAGTAATATTACATATAGGCATGCAATAATTTTATACAACATTATATGATAAAATATAATTAACTAATTTTAAATTAAAATTAAACTTTCACATAATCTTTTGCCACATAATATTGTGTCAATGTTGTATGTAGTATTATTCATTAGAAAAATATTATATATTTATATATTTCAACAAAGGATGGAACGTTGATGGTTTCTCAAACCGGTTCGTATATATGCTAAACCTTAGGTAGGTGGTAATTATACCTTCTTTTAAAGGAGAAAACATGTTATTGGCTTCACTCATATCATTTACTTTTTTTCTAACCTGTTATTACAAGTTGTCACATCGCGTTTGTGAGAGAAAGTTAGTAAGAAGAGTTTGTTAAACTATCTTTATTATTATTTTTATATTAAAAATATAACTTAAATTTAAATATATATATATATATATATATATATATTAAGAAGCAATTAAAAAACCTAGGGGTAAGGTTGGAGAAAATTATGCCCCGAGAACCAAGGATGGGGTTTCATGTAAGTGAAGGTGAAAACAGTAAAAACCTACCTGTTTCCATCATCGTAACATATTTAATATATTAAATAGATATAACTAATTGTAATTATTACTTTATTTAAATTTGAAAAATATGTTTTTCAACGACTATATATATCTTACGTCAATGTTATTAATCAAACACAGGTAAACATCCATTACTAGTTTGGTAGGTAAAGATCTCCTATGAGCATGTAAGAAAGTTATGGGTTTGAACAAAATAATGCTTATGACAAGATCGAAGATATTTTGAGTTTTATTAAGGGAAAAAAAAATATTGTCGAAATGAGATTATAAAATATGTTTTAATTACCATATTGTACTTTGTGATGAACTCTTACAGCCTGCATGTAAATCTTCTTTCTAGCTTTTGTTTAGCATAAAAATAATAATAATAATAAATAAAAATTGTCGCACCCAAAAATAACTTAATTTGAAATTAATTGAAGAGTTGATGCAATTAATATTCAATAGCATACTTAATTTTGGTACCGGAGTAGGGACAAACCCATGAATTAATTATAGAGGGAATAAATTCAAAATAATATAATATAAAATATCTTCATAACGGTGGACCAACTAATTTTATTACTATAAGGAGGTTATAACTTAATGGAGGTATAGTTATAAAAATTATAGTTTTGATTTCTTATTTTTTAAATTCATGTTTTAGAAGTACAATATTAAGATTTCAATTCATATTTTAGTAGTATTAGGATTTAAATTCAACGCTTCAATTGCCTACTTTAGAAATGGATAAAAAACCGTATCTTAGAACCAGCAAAGATAAGTGTCATTGATGGAACTATAAATGCAATTAATATATCGTAAATTGATGTGAAGCCACAAACAATTGCCAATGATTTTAAGCATTGCAAAATTAGGACTCCAGATTTTGATGAATTGCAAGTTATAAATGAAGTGGACAAGGAAAATAAAAGAGTCATTACAAAATTAAGTGATCAGATTTGACAATTTCACTACACTAATTGAATGGATATTAATGTCTTCCTCGATCATCCAAATCAGCAACAAATCGTGTATGCTTTAACCAAAGAAGAAATCATTGCTACAATTAAACAAGAAGATAAAGGAAATATTTGTAAGGATGTTAATACGAAAATACAAAAAGTTTCAGGCCATGAAGCTCTAAACATGCTTGAGAAGCTAAAAATATTTTGGTTTCAACAAAAAGTGTCAATGCTAGGAAATTATTATATACTAGAAATATAAAAGATGTGATAATAACTCTAAAATATAAATCACTGTCTCAAACAACTTTAGATAAATATTTTATTTCATCTTAAACATTTAATGTAACATATTAGATATTTTTTGGTAATATACAAATAATTATTACTATATAGAGGCAACTTTCCTTAAGACGGAAACTAGAAAAATTATAACTTATTACAAGGTGGAGTTTATTCTTATTTGTAAATATCTCAAATTGTTTTTATGATTATGTAGAATTTATTCCTATATAGAGTATCACTATAGAGAAGTTTTAATATGTTATGCTTTTAACACAATATTATCAGGTATAAATATATTAGTAATCGTTATAGTAGTGACATGGAAGAAAAATTAAGAATAATACTACACTTACAAAGTCCTCATACAAAGAAGTGTGTACAAAGTGATGTGTCATACTATGATCGAGAGAGTGAATTTGTAAAGTCAACTTTTTAATTAAAGTCAAATTCATTGTCCAATTATAATATGACACATCACTTTGTATATATATTTTTGTATGAGGACTTTGTAAATGTAGTATTACTCAGATTCTAATACGGTTAAAGCTTTTATCTGGGAAAAAAAAAAAAAAAGATTTCGATAAATAAAATCCATTAAAATTTATATAAATTTTGTAGCTTTAAGAGATGGTGCATTTTATTCGGGACAGAACTCAAATTTCAAAGTCGATCGGCAAGAAATAGAATTACTTTTTGAGTGAAATTGAAGTAATGGAAAGCCCTTTGAGATTCCCCAATTTCTTGCGACGAAAGAGTAATGCATGGTCTCGCCTTTACATGTAAATGCAACATGGGTAGTATGGTTACCAATAAAAATATGCTTGCTCACCATCTTATTAACCATCTCAATAATGCATAGTATTCGTACTATGCGTATGGTGCCTATACTATGCGTTATATTTACAAAGGATAGTAAAATGGTTAGTAAGATGGTGAGTAAACATAGCATTACTTGTATCGTTACTTACCTGGGAGAGAAAATTTTGTACTGAACCTCAGGGGTGGAAATGTAATAATCCCGCATAATAATTGATTACACATTCTTTAGGGGTTTATAACAATAATCCCCATGAGGTACAATCAAATAACATGAATTCCTTTGTGGTTATAGTAATAACAAAAATTCTTTTATCATTAAGTTTTTGACGTTAAAATAAACGATAGAGGGACAATATAATAAATATGTATTGACCCATCATGTTATAAATTCTAACGGCCAATTAACAGTAAGAAAATTTTTGTTATTTTTAAGGGATCTTAGGAGAAATTTTGTTATTAAGTTAAACCTTGACGTTTGAGTAAACCTCTTAGAAGAATAATGAATAATTTACATATAAATCTTATTTCAAACAATTTATATTCATAATATGAATAATAAGTTCCTATATCACTAAGATAAAGTTTTAAGTAAGATTAACATATCATATTACTTGTTTTTCCATTCAGTAATGTATTCATATATGTATACTATTTATCATAATCATATAAACTGTATGCAATATTGTCATAACCACAACTTTATTTTTATGCGTATCAAGTCATTTATATAACAATGCACTGATGCATATAGTTTGGAAATGGGAGAGTTCAATATTAACTTCCAACTACGGGGTTTGTTTTAAATTAGAGTAATGCTACATTTATACCACCCATTACACCATTTTCATTACACCATGATGTGGCATATCCCATATTCACACAAATTTTTAATTATTTTTAATTTTTAATATTATAATAAAATAATTATTAGTAAAATGGTGATGGTGTAATGAAAATGATGTAATGGGTGGTGTAAATGTAGCGTTACTCTTTAAATTAATCCATCGCATTAGTCTAGTTTAATATCACAAACCCTCTATAATTTATCAATTTTTCTGACATCCCCAGAAATTTAGGGAGGTGAACGACAAATCCTAAAGTATAGGAAGGTGTGCGAAATTAGCCCCCTTGGTGCGGATCACAGTGTTTGTAATCACGTTCATTCGCGAACCTTTGAAGTTCGTTTAACTGTAACACTTCTCGCTCACTCAACTTTCAGTTATCGTGTTCAAGCTCGAGCGTTTTCAAGCTTCAACCCTCCTTTCATGACCATTCCCAACTCTGCCTTCTCAATTGTACCTTCCTTTCTCTCAACGAAGCCTACCGCGCTTCCCTTTAGAAGCACGCCCCTTCACGCGCGCGAACCGACAGCAGCTCCGTTGATCTCCTTCTCTCGTTCCCGAAGCGGCGCCGTTTTTTCTATGCCTTCCGTCGGTGAAGACTTGCCTGTCAACTACGGTGACTGGCTTCCCAATCTGGACTCCAAGGATCGGCGACGAGCAGGCGTTTTGCTCCATCCGACGTCGTTTCGTGGCCCTTACGGTATCGGAGATCTCGGTGACCAGGCGTTCGAGTTCCTCGACTGGCTTCATTTCTCCGGTTGCTCCGTTTGGCAGGTCAAAACGCTCCGTTTTGTCAAGAAAAAATTTGGCTGAAGTTTCTGAATTTGAATGTGAAGCTATTGATAGTAGCATTAGCATTTTCTTAAAACGCTGCATTTCATGACAGTTGAATTGAATGTGAAGTGCTGACGTGGCATTGCTGCAGGTTTTGCCGCTCGTTCCTCCGGGAAGGAAAGCCAATGAAGAAGGATCAACATACTCTGGCCAGGTCAAGAGACCTCTCATGAAGCTTTTTATAATTAATTATGATTAATTACTGTTTATCCTGCTTGTCTTGTATTGTTACTGTGGCTAATTGTCCCTGATGACTGCTTTCAGGATGCAAATTGTGTTAACACTCTGTTGATTTGCCTTGATGAGCTTGTGAAGGATGGTTTGTTGGAAAAGGATGAGCTTCCACAGCCAATGTGAGGAATTCTGATATTAAAATCAATGATGATATCAAGCCACTTTTGTATTCCTTGTTTATGTGTTTGTTCTTATTACTATCTTTTGTGCAGTGATGCCGAGCGTGTGAACTTTTCAGCCGTAGCTGACTTGAAAGATCCTTTGGTCCCTTGAAGAAAATGTCAAAGAAGGGAATAGGAAGTTTGCACTGGTCCCTTGAGTCTTAGTGGTCATGCTGCATTAGCTGTTTCTTATATTAATAGCTGATTCTGTTAGTACACAAAATCTTATCTTAAGGTATTCCTTTCTTAGGCTGCAAAGAGGCTCATCCAAAGTGATGTTGAACTTAAAAAACAGCTTGAAGATTTCCGCAAAGACCAGAACATAGCAAGTGAGAAATTTCATATATTTCATGCATTTTTATTTTATTTTATTATTATTATTATTTTTTTTTTTTTTTTACCTTTCTTTAGGTTTTTGTGAGAAGAATGGATTTTTCAATAATTCATGTAGTTGGATTTGTATTGTTGAGATATCAAATTAAAATGTTAATTAAGTGCAAAAAGTGGATGTACTTACAATTATCTTTGGATTATAGTTTAGTTGGATTTCACTCTTTGGAGGTGTTTCTCATGGAATTGAGTATTTACCCCACTTTCATAGGCTGGCTTGAAGATGCAGCATATTTTGCTGCTATTGATGATACTCTCAATACATTCAATTGGTATTTTTGGCCTGAACCATTGAAAAATCGCCATCTTGCTGCCCTGGAAGAAATTTACCAAAGTAAAAAGGATTTCGTAAGAACTACATGACTCTTAGTCTTATTTGATGGCTTGTAATTTCTCTCAACATCTAAGATGCTAGATGACCTAATGATTTTCTATTCTTGCTTTCACTTGTATAGATTGATGTATTCGTTGCACAACAGTTCTTATTCCAAAGGCAATGGCAAAAAGTTCGCAACTATGCACAAACTAAGGGCATTAGTATAATGGGAGACATGCCCATCTATGTAGGTTATCATAGTGCTGATGTTTGGGCAAATAAAAGCATTTTTTGCTGGTGAGTCTTTCGTCAAACTAGTGCCAGAGATGTCAATTATCAAATGTAGGTGACTGTCACTAATTTTGATATTTATTGGCAGAACAGGAGTGGTTTTCCTCTTCTAGTTAGTGGCGTTCCTCCTGATGCCTTCAGTGAAACTGGTCAGCTTTGGGACAGGTTTGTATACATATATTGTACTACCTAGCAACTACATCTGATCATTCAAATTATGCCACATAAATCTCGTTACCCGTATTCTCCATGGTTAATATTCATTTGTTTATTTAATACCTTGAAGATAATGTGCTCATCGATCAGCATATAATCTGCTAAAAGAAATCCAATGATAGTTTTGCATATCTCATGCTTGCTGTTATTCTGTTTTGTATTTTATTTTCATACCTCTCTTTCAGATTCTTTTTTGGTAATTATTGTACAATAGCCCCATTAAGCATTCAAGTGAATGCTTCAGAAAAGTGAGTGGAAATTTTGGTGATATTACTTACAACATTTACTTTTACCACAATACACCCGAAATCAGTGGCCCAGACACTGAACTGTACTATATAATTTGGATCCCATATCATGGTCTGTCTAAAATCGGTCCATAATTTTCTCTGTTGTTGCTCATATGTAATACTCTTCTCGTAGTATTAAGCATACAATATTAGCTAGCTTACCTATTAGCTTCGTTTTTGACTTAAAAGCCCTCTGTATGATTGGAACTCCATGGAGAAAGATGGATTTTCATGGTGGATTCGCCGCTTAAAACGTGCTCAGGATTTATATGATGAATTCAGGATTGACCACTTTAGAGGATTTGCTGGCTTTTGGGCTGTTCCATCTGGTGAGATGAAATTCATTTGACAGATGACTTGATGTTTGTTGCACTGACATACTGTGTGAACTAATATATTATACAATTGTACAGAATCAAAGGTTGCAATGGTTGGAAGATGGAAGGTTAGATTCTCTAAATCAGGTCAAGTTGTAATCTTTTAAAGATATTCAATTATCAATCTTAGATACTCTTTTGATGACAGTAGGTGGGACCTGGAAAATCCTTGTTTGATGCTATCTCCAGAGCTGTTGGAAATATCAACATAATAGCGGAAGATTTGGTATGTTTTGTCTAATAGGATTCATGCTTTGCTTCTCCTTTTACCTTGTTATGGGGTGTTTCTTGTGGTGGAATCATATTACTTTCTGGCAACTAATAAACCGTGGAGTTTTCATGGATACGATAATTACTTGATATTTTTGTGTATTCATTGATTGTCTTCTGCTGATATGTTCTCATCGTCTTGTGACAGGGAGTTATCACTGAAGATGTAGTTCAGCTCAGGAAATCTATTGGGGCACCTGGAATGGCTGTTCTTCAGTTTGGTAATAGTTATTTGTTGATTAAGTGTACTACTGTCAATTCTATTTATCATTTTAAGTGAAGTTTGCTTGGTTTGATTTTGTCGTCCTGTTTTGTATTTTCTTTTTCTAGGCTTTGGAAATGATGCTGAAAACCCTCATTTGCCTCACAATCATGAGTGCAATCAAGTCGTGTACACTAGAACTCATGATAATGACACGGTAAGGATCCTTATTCCATAAAAATCTATTTTCTTCTGTTTCTTATCTTTGGGAGAAATTATAGGAAAATGCCGCATGTTGCCTCACAATCTTGAGTGCAATAAAGTTGTTTATGCTGGAACTCACAATGTTAACACTGTAAAGATCCTTATTTCATGGACTTGTCTCTGTTTTTCTCGTCCATGGGAAGAATATATGAAATACCAACTGAAATGGATCATTGGCTGTTGACCAGTTGATATCTTTTGAACGACCAATGAGACCTTTATTCCAGGATGATCTATAGCTTAATTATGGTCTTCTAAATGTACATGACTGATCAAATTTTTTAGTTTATGAGGTGGGAGTAGTGGTTTGTTCTGATCATCTGAAGTTGCATAAAGTAATCTCTTTTTGGATTATAATACGTGCCCACTAACAGTTATCATGTTTTATCATAAATCCGAGGTTGGTGGGACAATCTGAAGCAGGAAGAGAAGAATAATGTGAGTGCTATCTTTTCTTTTCAATAATTTGGCTATTTAATTAACATTTGAAGTCTCTTTTTGCGGTTTATTACAATATAATTGTTGTTGCAGGTACTGAAATATCGTTCTTTAACTGAAGAAGATGACATACCCTGGGCACTCATCCAGGCTGCTGTATCTTCCGTGGCCCAAACTGCAGTCGTACCCATGCAAGATATACTTGAGCTAGGGAATTCTGCACGGATGAACATTCCAGCAACTCAAGTAAAAGATATACATGGATGCAAACAAGATGATGATTCGTCGTGCCAAACAACTAAAATTGCTTGTTTCTGTCCAAATCTGTTTTGATTAGATTTACAGAATGTTAGACCTCCCATACGTAAGGTCTATGAGTCCAAGGGTACATTAAGTATGAGCCTGGTAGCGGATGATGAGGTGTGCAAGGAGGGTGGTTAGTGCATGGGAAGTTTGTTATAAAAAGGGACACGTGCAGGGGAAGGTTGTTATGGAAATGGACACCTAGCTGTCAATTAGTTAAGGGCAATTAGTTAAAGGGCTGAATAAGGGCTTATAAAAAGAAGAAAGTGAGGGAGGAGGGATATCGAAAATATTATTCATAGGCTTGTTTGGGAGGCCCCCAACTCCTCGAACTGTTGGGAATCTGCTTGTTATTTCTATTGCTCTGTTTATGCTAGCTTGGTTCCAATTAATATAAACTGCCATTTCTTCCTCTTTTGTGCATATTCTTTAGTGTGTGCTCTGTGTGTGTGCTGTGGTTCACTGATTGCAGGGAGTTCCATCAGATTGGTATCAGAGCCAAGTTGCCAACAGATTGCACGCTGGGGAATGATAAAATCAAAAATGGATAAGAGGATGGATAATATGGAGAAAGAGATGAAATCAGTACAAGAAGATATGAGTTCAGTCAAGACGGATGTGGGGAGTCTTAAAGAATACTTGACCGAGATGAGAGAATTGTTGAGGTTGAGATACGAGAGGGAGGAGAAATGTTACCGTGAAAAAGAGAAATCCCAGTCATCGTCCGAGAATACAGATTTTGGTGGTGGCCGCAAATGAGAACAAGACACAATCGGGGACAGTGGGAAGGAGGAAAAGAAAACTCGGAAGCTGGAGCTTCTAATTTTCAGTGGAGAGGACCCTTTTGGATGGACTTTTCGCATCGACCGTTACTTTGCTATCAACAAATATGGACTATCAAAAATGGTGGAGGCAGCGGCTGTTTGCATAGAGGGCAGGGCGCTTAATTGGTACCAGTGGGTAGAAGGACAAGATCTTTTCAAGACATGGGAAGAGCTCAAGGCTGCTCTAATAGCGAGATTCAGGCCGTCGTTCCAAGGGTCTGCACACGAGGCGCTGAAACAAATCTCCACCGTGACTGAATATAAGGAAGATTTTGAAGCCCTTATAGCACCGTTGAAAGATTTGGGAGAGGAATTGTTAATGGGGGTTTTCATCAATGGGCTTAGGGAAGAAATCAGAGCTGAGTTGAGAGTGTTGAGGCCCAGCTCCCTCCAAGAAGTCATTGAACAGGCCTATCATATGGAGGAAAAAAATTGGGTAATGGAAAAATGGAGGCCCAAAACATTTAGAACCCAAGTCACCAGGGATAATTATTCAAGGGTGTCCAACAGCCCAGATCCAAACCGACATGCATGGTGGTCCAACCCATCCAAGATAGTCACTAACCTGGATCCGACCCGACCCGACCCGCCCCGACCCGCCTAGTGGCCCAACTCAATAAAACCACCTGAGGCAAGTCAGATCGCGTCATCTCGCGATTCTCGCGCACCCGATAGACGAGAGAGGGCACCGAAAATGGGAGCGACGAGCTTCCGAGGAGGATCAGGAGGCAATTTCTGGCGATTGACGGAAGCCGAGATCCAAAGTAAACGTGAAAGGGGCCTTTACTTCAGATGTGATGAAAAATTTGGCCCTAATCATCACTGTCGAAGTAAGTCACTATAGATCCTATTGGCTTTGGAGGACGACGGTGATGAGAAGGCCGAAAACCCATCGGAAAATGACGATAATCCCAGCCCAGATGGTGACGACTTAGCACTGTCCATGAACTCCATCGTGGGTATAACATCGGATCACACTTTGAAGGTAAAGGGGCAAATTGGTAATACTGAGGTTGTGGTATTGATTGACAGTGGGGCATCCCACAACTTTATTTCACAGGATTTAGTAGAGAAGTTAGGACTTACAGTGGAAAAAGGAAAACGGTTTGGGGTGATGGTAGGAAATGGAGTCACGGTAAAAGGGGAAGGGGTGTGCCAACAGATCCATCTGGATGTACAAGGAGTTAAGATTAGACAGGATTTCTTTCCCTTTCAGTTGGGGAGTGCCAACGTGATTTGGGGCATTACATGGTTGAGTTCCTTAGGGGACGTTTGTGCCAATTGGAAGAAGCTGACCATGAGGTTTGAATTGGATGCGGTCAAGGTCAGTTTACAAGGGGATCTGTCTCTGGTAAAGTCAGGTGTCTCCCTGAAGTCAATGTTACGGACTATCAACAGCATTGGGGGAGGGTTCCTGGTGGAATGTTGTTCAATTGAAGGGAAGCCAATTCACCCAGACGAAGACATCAGTCCGCAAGTTTAGGCAGTTTTGGATGAGTATCGGCATCTTTTCAACCAGCCCTCGAAACTTCCTCCACACCGTCCCCATGACCATGCCATAAACCCTAAAACAGGCGCCCAAGCCCCTAACATTAGACCCTATAGGTATCCATATTTCCAGAAAAATGAAATTGAAAAATTGGTGGAGGAAATGTTAGCAGCCCATATCATCCAATCGAGTACCAGTCCGTTTGCCAGCCGGTGTTGTTAGTCAAGAAAAATGATGGAAGCTGGAGGTTTTGCGTGGATTACAGGGCTTTTAATGAGATAATAGTCCCCAACAAGTTCCCAATCCTGACCATCGAAGAACTGTTGGATGAATTGGTAGGGGCAACAATCTTCTCTAAGCTGGACCTCTGATCAGGGTACCATCAGATTCGGATCAAAGACGAAGACATTCCCAAAACAGCTTTCCGAACACATGAGGGCCATTACGAGTTCTTGGTGATGTCGTTCGGATTGACCAACGCTCCTTCAACATTTCAGTCACTTATGAATAGTATTTTTAAATAGGTTCTGCGTAAGTTCGTATTGGTTTTCTTTGATGATATTTTGATATACAGTATTGACTTGGAAGCCCACATTCAATACCTTCGGCAAGCCCTTCAAATTTTGGGTGACAATGACCTGGTTGTGAATTGGAAAAAGTGTTCATTCGGGCAGCAGAGACTGGAATACCTGGGGCACTTAATTTCAGCACATGGGGTGGAGGTCGACCCCCAAAAAATTGCTACTATGGTTTACTAGCCCACACCCACCAATGTGAAAAGTCTCCGCGGATTTTTGGGTTTGACGGGGTATTATCGCAGGTTTGTTAAAGGATATGGCAGTATAGCCCAGCCACTCATGTGGCTCTTGAAGAAAAACTGTTTTAATTGGGATCAAGAGGTTGAGCAGGCCTTTCACGCCTTATGACATCGGTTCCAGTGCTGGCAGCCCCGGATTTCAACCTTCCATTCGAGATCCATATAGATGCCTCAGGCCAAGGTATGGGAGCGGTGCTGGTTCAACACAAACGACCCATAGCATAGCTAAGTAAGGTGTTTTCCCCTCAAGCTAAACAAAAATCGGTCTATGAAAGAGAACTAATGGCTGTGGTTTTCGCTGTACACAAATGGAGTCCTTATTTATTGGGCAGAAAGTTTATCATTCGAACGGATCAGAGAAGCCTTCAATTCCTCAAGGATCAGCGGATTAAGACACCGGAACAGCAGAAATGGTTGTCCAAATTGATGGGGTATTCATTTGACATTTAGTATTTGCCAGGCACCACAAGTAAGGTCGCGGATGCACTATCTCGACGAGATGAGAACCTAGAATTATCGTCCTTATCAAAGATTCAGTTTTCGGAGTATGAGGACTTGGCCAACGAAGCCCACCAAGACCCCAAGCTGAGGCAGTTGATTCAAGCGTTGATTTTGGACCCTAACAGCCGACTACACTATAAAATCCACCATGGGTGTCTCCTGTACAAAGACAGGCTAGTTTTGCCTAGAGATTCTCGGTTTGTGCAGAAGCTACTAACTGAATTCCATTCCAGTCCGTCAGGAGGCCATTCTGGATTTTTTCAGACATACAAAAGGGTGGCCAATGTGGCTTATTGGGCGGGTATAAAGACGGATGTCTAGGATTTTGTAAAAAACTGCACCATCTGCCAAGTTAATAAACACTCAGCTTTAAAACCCGCAGGGCTACTTTAGCCACTTCCTATTCCCGCTCAGGCATTTGATGATTTGACAATGGATTTCATCAGAGGCCTCCCAAGAACCAAAGGATTTGACACCATCCTAGTTGTAGTGGACCGTTTGACTAAATACAGCCATTTTCTACTTCTGTCACACCCTTATACCGCCAAGGAGGTAGCCTTAGTTTTCATAAAAGAAATAGTGAAGCTTCACGGTCTCCCTCAGACCATCATTTCAGACAGGGACAGATTGTTTATGAGTCACTTTTGGCAGGAGATTTTCAGAATCTCAGGGACAGCTCTGAAATTTAGCTCGGCTTACCACCCTCAAACGGATGGCTAAAGCGAAGTGGTGAATAGGTGTCTAGAGGTTTACCTCCGCTGTTTCTACAGCTTACAGCCCCGTCAATGGCCCAACTGGTTATCATGGGCTGAATTTTGATACAACACGACGTACCATCGCTCCACTAAGATGACCCCTTTTAAAGCATTGTACGGCCGAGACCCTCCGACTCTCCTTAAGCTGACCAATTACCCCTCTACGGTCGATGAAGTAAACCAGCAGATCCGAGAACACAATGCCCTTCTTCAAGACCTTAAACATAACCTGGAAGTAGCACAAGCTCATATGAAAGCCCAAGTAGACAGCCACCGAAGGGACATCCAGTTCTCTCCAGGAGATTATGTTTATCTCCGGCTTCAGCCCTATAAGTTTAAATCTCTCGCCACACGATTGAATGAAAAACTGAGTCCTCGGTTTTATGGGCCCTTCCAAGTGGTCGAGAAGATTGGTCAGGTGGCATACAAGTTAGAATTGCCCACAGCAGCCCGTATTCACCCAGTCTTTCACGTATCCCAATTGAAGCACTGCCTACATCGTTCAGTCCCTGTACAGCCTTTGCCTTCTTGTCTCACTGAAGATCTGGAGCTTCAGGTTCAGCCCGAGGTAGTGCTGGATGTGCAGACTCTGTTGGATGGTTCCACCGAGGTGCTCATCAAATGGAAGGACCTACCTAATTTTGACGCCACCTGGGAGTCTTTTGATGTCATCAATAGTCAATTTCCTCAATTCCACCTTGGGGACAAGGTGGCACTTCAGGGGGGGGGGGGGGTTGGTATTGTTAGACCTCCCATACGTAAGGTCTATAAGTCCAAGGGCAGGGGAAGGAAGAGGGGCAATGGTACATTAAGTATGAGCCTGGTAGGGGATGATGAGGTGTGCAAGGAGGGTGGTTAGTGCATGGGCAGTTTGTTATAAAAAGGGACACGTGCAGGGGAAGGTTGTTATGGAAATGGACACCTAGTTGTCAATTAGTTAAGGGACTGAATAAGGGCTTATAAAAAGAAGAAAGTGAGAGAGAGGAGGGATATCGAAAATATTATTCATAGGCTTGTTTGGGAGGCCCCCAGTTCCTCGAACTGCTGGGAATCTGCTTGTTATTTCTATTGCTCTGTTTATGCTAGCTTGGTTCCAATTAATATAAACTGCCATTTCTTCCTCTTTCGTGCATATTCTTTAGTGTGTGCTGTGTGTGTGTGTTGTGGTTCACTGATTGCAGGGAGTTCCATCAGAGAATAAATCCAATTAAAAATTTCTTGGTCCAATTTAAAATTTATGCGTGGTTTAATTGTTTTGCTCAACCCAGATAGATAGACCCAAGTCTCTCTTTTAGCCTTACGCAGATATACCATATTTTTGCCTATCCAAAAAAATAAATTAAAAAATGAAAGAATAAAAGTGCTTCTTATAGAGGGGAAGGGCTTCAAGAGAATATAATTTATGGGCTTGACTAATAATCTTTCAAGTATTCATTTCCTCTCAACATATGTAACTGAAATTTGATGCTCTGCCTCTTTTCTATGATACAGTTTGGAAACTGGGGTTGGAGGATACCAAATTCCATGACTTTTGATAGCTTGGAGACACAGGCTAAGAAACTAAGAGATATGCTTTCAGTGTATGGGCGGCTGTAAAGTAAGAACTCTGTGAACTTTCGAAGTGGCTACTTACCTGATTGTTGGTCGGCCATGTCAGTTGTCGTATGAGATAAATTTTGTACAATTGTTTCACATTCATCAAATAATCACTTGCCTCAGTTGATGCAAGATTTTGTAGTAATATTTTATATCAATAACATAAAGGTTCTTCTCATTTATTAATCTTGAAATCTGATTATTTGTTCATACATGTGTATATTTTAGCTGCTAGTGACAACCAAAGGGTGTTTGCTTTCTTTTGTAAGCTATGTATACCTGCTAAATCTACTTTTTGTGTTTTCCAAGTTAATTTTTGTTGCAATTACTGCTACAATTTCACTTAACAATTTCCAAGTTCCAGAGTGATTGCTACATGCTAACAGACCACCGAAACCTGCATTATTTGAAAAGTATTGAGAAATTAGCGATGTACACAGAAAAGAAACTGATCGCAACAAACCCCCCCCCCCCCCCCCCCCCAAAAAAAAAAAAAAAAAAGAAAAAAATTCTTCTGCTCGACTGGAGTCACTCTAGTGCTAGTGTCACATACATGATTAAAGCTTCAGAATTACTAGAGTGAGGGCATAAAAGTTGTAGAAAGGTAAAATTAAAACAAAAATAGATGAAAGTCTGATCCACTAAATCAATTAAAAAAATTCAGATTATAATTTTTCAAAAATAAAAAAATCTTTTAAATAATTTTCTCTTTTTTTATATTTTTTTTATATTGGGAAAAAAATAAAGCAAACTTTGCAAAATCACTTTTTATGAAAATTTTGTGAAGTTTCCATTTGACGAAGAATACTTTTTGTCCACACTAGATGCAAGTTACAGGAAATTTCTCTCTCGAGTAAATTAAAGGCGGTGATAGACTTTTCAAGCACCTAGGTCTTTGTATATAAAAATATTCCGTGTTATCTCTGAATTATGGTCAGAATCAGAAAACAAGAGAAACAATGGAGTTGTCTACCTTTAACAGAGTGTTTTCACTTGTTTCCCTTTGCTTGCTTGTTATGTTACACTTTACACTTAATCTTGCTTCTGATTCTTCTGATGAAGCGAATGCCCTCGTCAAATGGAAAGACAGTCTTTGGAATAATGACCAGTCTTTCCTGCCTTCGTGGAATCTTTATCCTGTTAATTCTACCCAACTAAGCGCATGTACCTGGGCCGGAATTTCTTGCGACCATGCCGGACGTGTTGAAAGTATTATCCTTACGAATACAAGTTTAAAAGGTACACTTGATGAATTCTCCTTCTCATTATTTCCTCATCTCTTGTATCTTGATCTGAGCATGAATCAACTCTTTGGAAGCCTTCCACCTCAGATTGGTAATTTCTCCAACCTCACACGCCTTGATTTGTCAAATAATCAATTGTCTGGGAATATACCACCAGAAATTGGCCTTTTAACACATCTGGAGATCCTCCACCTTTCTTTCAATCAGTTAAATGGTTCAGTACCAGAAGAAGTAGGCCAGTTAAGTTCTCTTAAAGAGCTTGTCTTGTACCATAACAACTTGGGCGGTCTCATTCCTTCTTCTTTGGGCAATTTGAGCAACTTGGCTCGATTATCTCTTTCTAGTAATTCACTTTCGGGCTCTATTCCTAGGGAGATTGGAAATTCATCTCAATTGCATGTGCTTGATCTTTCTTCGAATCATTTGGCTGGGAAGATTCCTACGGAACTAGGAAAGTTGGTTTCTATGAACAATCTGGTTTTGAATGGGAATCAATTTTCTGGAGGTATACCTCAGGAACTTGGCTTACTCATTGAACTTGAGTACCTTGACTTATCTGCAAATAGATTGAAAAAGTCAATCCCAAAAGATCTTGGGTACATGTTGAAATTACACTACTTGAATTTGAGTAACAATCAGCTTAATGAAGAAATTCCAGATCAATTGGCAAAGTTATTTCAATTATCAGCTCTAGATTTGAGTCATAACTTGCTAAAAGGAGAGATATTGTCTCAAATATGCCGTTTGGAGAACTTGGAGAACCTTAATCTGTCCTACAATAACCTCTCTGGTTCAATTCCGAGTTGTTTTGAAGGAATGAAAGGTTTGTCTTTTGTCGATATATCCTATAATGAGTTGCAGGGTCCAATTCCCGATAGTAGAGCATTTCGATACGCTCCAGTGGAAGCATTAGAAGGGAATAGAGGATTGTGTGGTGCTGCTAGCAGCCTACGACTACCTTGCAAAACTTTCACATCACACAAACAGATCTTTAAGGGCTGGCAATTGGTGTTCACTGTCGTGTTCCCTCTTTTAGGAGCACTTACTCTTTTAATTGTGGTGCTAATTATCTATCAAAGAAGGAAGAAAAGAAACAACGAGAGCAATTTAATTAGTTGTCTAAGTGGGAAGAGAAGAAATCATGAGAACATGGGGGAATTTTGGATGTCAACTGTATCAAACATTGGGGAAAAGGCAACTTATAAAGAAATCATGAGAGCAACTGAAAATTTTGATCCCAAATATTGTATTGGGAGGGGAGGATATGGAAGTGTTTACATAGCAAAATTAGAAGAAGGGCATGTTGTAGCAGTAAAAAAATTTGATATTCATTCTTTGCATCCTAGTGAGATGGCAAACCAAAATCACTTATTGAAGGAAGTAAAAGCATTAACAGAGTTACATCATCGAAATATTGTGAAATATTTTGGTTTTTGTTTGCATGCTCAACACTCTTTTTTAATTTATGATTACCTTGAAAATGGTAGCTTGAATAAAGTTCTGGGGTGTGAGGTGGAAGCAAAGAAACTGGATTGGAATATGAGAATAGGGATTTTAAGAGGTGTGGCTCATGCCTTGTCTTACCTACATCATGATTGTTTTCCACCAATTGTCCATCGAGATATATCAAGCAAGAATGTGTTGCTTGATTCAGACTATGAAGCTCATGTCTCAGACTTTGGAGTTGCCAAGGTTCTCCAGCCAGGAGCAACCAATTGGACTGTAGTTTTAGGTACATGTGGATATACTGCACCAGGTATACATATAATTCATCTAATGTAACCTTCATAGAGAATGGATGACACATATATATATCATGATCTCATTTATCTTTCATTTTTGCAGAGCTTGCTTACACAATGAAGGTAACTTTAGAATGTGATGTGTATAGCTTCGGAGTGTTAGCACTAGAAATTATCAAAGGAGAGCATCCAGGTGATATGATTCTTTCTCTATCCTCTTCTTTGAATAGGATGAAGGAGAAGAGGCGGCTGAGAGATATTGTGGACCAACGTCTTCCATTTCCTGATCCTGAAATTCAGGCCCCAATAATAAAAATTTTGAACCTTGCTAGTGCTTGCTTAGATGCTAATCCACAATTGAGGCCAACCATGGACATGATTTGTAAGGAGTTATGAGCACAAAAGGCAATTTGTGGGAATCTGCAAAATCAATTGCTTGTGTAAAACATTGTAATCCTTCTGAACCCTATTCAAAATCAATTGTTGTCAAATATTAAATTAAGTATAATTTATCATGAAGGCATTTTTTTCTTCATTTATCTCCCTATTCAAAATAAAATATACATTCTAAGTGATGAAGTTCACAATATTAAATATTCTTACATCAACAAAACTAGTTTTTCTCTCTTTTTGTCTATAAATTAATTAAAATTGATAGTTATTAATAATTACTTGACATGCATGCATTATTTTGTGTTACCACATCATCTTGATTCCATAGATTTTTTTTTTTTTTTTTTTTTTTTTTTCTCCTTGAATAAAATTTTGAGCGGTGAAGCAGTAGCAAGAGAACTAATTAAGTTGGAGTTAAGAGACTAAATATTTTGAAAGGGGAAAGTCTTAGAGATGTGGCACATTCATTGTCCTATGGACATTTAACTTATTCAATGTAACCTTAATAGAAAATGGATGACGTATATCGTGATCTAATTTTATTTTCATTTTTGCAAAGCTAGCTTACACAATGAAGGTAACTGAAATGAGATATGAGTAGCTTTGGAATGTTGGCACTACAAGTTTGAATAAAGGTATTGTGAGTTGCCTCTATATATAATTATAATAGAGTTCCGAATTGGATATACATTTCATAATAACAGAAATAATGGGGTTGTTAATTTTGATAGAGCATTTTCACTTGTTGTCCTGATCTTGTTTGCTAATAGGCTTGCCCACCAAATATAATACAAATCCAACACTCAAAACAGATAACTGGACCACAATTAGAGCCCAAATACAGCAGGCCGAAAGAGTAAAAAGGGCTTATAACTCATGCATATTAGGCACACTTTTACACTTTTTATATATACGTATATATCACCCATATACATCCAGTCAAACTCATGTCATTACTAAGTCCAGCAGCTTCAAAAGTAAAACCAAAATTCAAGCATTTGAATAAAAGGGCCAGCCGATTAGTATAATGGTGTTATACTGTTATCCACTCAACTTCTTTAAATAGACAACCAATATACACTTCCACCAAGTCCAGCCGAAATGCACCATATCCATATAGAAATATATAACTTCCAGCAAGCAAAATCACAAATGAGAAAGTTCCACTCTCAACATTTCCAATACACATTGTCCAGCCAAGTACAAAACACACACACATATATATATAAACCAAACCAAACCAAAAAGGCAGCCAATACATATGTTACATCAAAATTCAAATTCACATAACAATCACAAGCATGCAATAAGGCTCCACACCACCCATTACCAAATCCCATATTTTAGCAAAACATCTCATGCATATCACACACACATAACCCAAAATGCCCTGCCAATACAATACAATACAATACAATACAATACAATACCATTTCCAGCCCACAAAATCGTCACCAACATTCCTCAATTTAACCCAAAATACCCAAAAGCATTTGTAAAGTCGTCATTTAGCAAAGCATTATACTCCAAACGATTTCCCAGCCATAAATCACAACCCAAAACTCTTCAAGACACTCAGCTTAACTAAAAATCCCAGCCATAATTCTTACAATAAATATTTCCACCATCATTCAATTCATGTAAAAGCCATACATAATTATAAGTAACATGCAACACATAAGTACCTTCTTTAGAGCCAGATTTAAGGCAGCAAAATCCACATATCAATTTAACCGAGACATGCAAGGTGGGATCTAGCAATTATCGCAATTCACCACAAGCTTTTGCACCAAGCCCTTTTTAATACCAATTTACCCAATATTTTCATAAACATAATTTCATACTCTCTATTCCAAACACATGCATGTCACGGAAATCTTCAATTTATTAGAAATTCAAAATTCAAAGTTAAAATAAAACCTCAATCAATCGGGCATGCACATGCATTCCAACCAAGACATGATTTTAAATGCAAATTTAATAATATTCCACCCACAAAATTCAGCTCAACCGAAGCTCCCTTGTGCTCTCAACCACTCCTCTTCCGAACCCGAACTTGGATTTAGCCGATCTACTAATTTTTCTCCTCCCCCATACTATTTCATTTCACTCACTCTACTTCTCGGCCGAAAGTATCCTCCCTTCTGTTCCCCTTTTTCTTTTCTTCTTTCCTTCTCTCCTTCCTTCCCTCTTTTCTCTCTTTTCTCTCTCCTCTCCCCTTTTCCTCCCGGTTCTTCTTTGTCCCTTCTTTCGTTTGGGCGACTGCCCAGTTTTTATATAAAATACGTTTCAATATTTTAAAACTTCCCCACCCTTTATTTCTACCATAGCCCCGCCACGTCAGCTTTTTCTGACAAAAGGCCTCGTTTTCTGCGCTTTCTGCAAACCCAGCAGCTCCCATTTCTTTCGTTTTCACCACCGACAAAACTTAAAAAAAAAAAAACGCTTACATTCCTTAACAAAAAAATAAAATAAAATAAAATAAAAAATATTTTACTTACAACTGGATAAAAATTACATAAAATTCATATAAAATGATTATCCTATCCTTTCAATAATGTTATGTTTACAACCAAATATTACTAATTAACGGTGGCAAACAAAGTGGTAGAGCATCTCTTCTACCACATCACTTAGTTGCCACTTGTTACATTAGTGTTTCTAAAATTTTTTATTAAAAAAAATGAATCCAAAATCTTTAATTACTTCCCAAATTCAGTAATACTATACGCACAAACTCTTCTTATTACCTTTTTCTCACAAACGCGACGTGTTAGCTCGTAATTAGTCAGCTCACAATGGATCTCGCTTGCCTAACAATGGATCTCGCCTGCCCAACAATGAATTCCTCCTACGTAAATGTGAGCTATTACCTTAACGTTTATGAGAGAAAGTTGTGAGAAGTGTTGTCAACCTTTCTTTATTCCTTCCAAATTATATCAAAAATGCCACCTCATATGCTACCTTAGTCACTTGCCACGTCATTCCATCCCCAAAAAAAAAAAAAAAAAAAAAAAAATCAATTACCGAGTTTTAGAAAAAGGTCGAGCTTACCAAATTCAAATTAGTCTCCCAAATTTCATTTTCCCCAAATTTGCAAACTCCAAAATTTTCCCCAAATCAATTCCAATTTCAGATATCCTAGCCACCATAGAAAACGGTTTTAGTTGCACTCCACGCACGCACCACCACCGCACTCCAATTTCGCCGATGTAGCCAAGCCGACCTTTCTCGCCATAGCCTCTCTTTAATATTTATATGTTTCGCACCACCATATTTGAACTCCCTTCCAATCGTTTACCAACCCCATCACAACGACAACCACCACAATCCAATTGAAGCCGCAGTCAACACCCGCACCACCACATTTCGCCGCCGTCCTTTACCAACACCAACAAAACGAGGTTGCCGGCAAGATAAAGGAACCAACATCACAGCCTGGAAGGTATGGATATAACCGTTTGGGTAGGCAGGTTATTGTTTTGAACTATGATGTTAGATTTTGTATTGAGGCAAACAAGTATTTCTTGGCTGCAGCTACAGACACGATCTTTGGTCATGATGGCTGTGAACCAGATTATTTCTAAATAGCCAACTTAAAGAATCCTATCTTTTGTTTGTGCTTGTTTGAGCACCTTTTTTCCTTGCCTATGTGCATGTTTATGGGTTAAGAAAGGTTGATAACCTTTCTTTCATTGAAAATAATTGTCCCCTTTATTTTGGCTGTTGGTTTTGAGAAATGGAAATATTTAATGGAAAAGTTTGTCTTCTACCTTGGTTCTCTTTACTTCTCTTACTATTGATGTAAAGTAATTTTTATGGCATGGTCTGCTCATCTCACATAACTTCCCTGTAAATGCATAATCGTTCAAGTTGATAACATATAAGCTACTAAGCTTTAAGTATGAGTTTAAGTTGACAACATTTATGATGGTAAGCTGTAAGTATGAGTTTAAGTTGATAACATTTAAGCTGGTAAACTTTAAGTATAGCCTCAATGCCACAAATTAATGAGTTGAATTCTCCTCAAGGTGGTTTAATTTTAATAAATCCTTTAATTCATAACGACAATATCACTATATTTGGGTCACATATGTGTTACTAATTAGGAAAAATTATTCTTTTGTATTTTATTTAGGGTAATCTTTTTCCAATATAGTACAAACGATAAAAGAGTGCAGTCAAAAGAAATCAGAGAACTCTTCTTCTCAATTTGAAGTCGTTGAGGTAATCTCTTTTTTATTAATTAGTAATATGATTTTAATTTTGTTTATGATATTATTTCTACCTTTTTTAAGTATTATTATATTCTAATTCTAGCTCTACTGTGATTTCAATAAATTAGGATAATAATAACCCAGAAATATAAGTTACAAGAAGTGCAGAAGAGGAATGGGAGCCTAAAGGACTTTGAAGTTGTAATTTGGGAGAGAGACTTGCGTGTTTGTAGTCTGGGCAATGTGTTTGGGAGGTGTTTGGGCAGTTTGTGCAGTTTGTATACTTTGCACTGATCCATATTGATAATTGTAATATTACTACTCTTTTGTTTATACGATTCAAGGTAACATTTGTAACTTGAATTTCATTTCATAATCTAATTTTGAGGTGTATAATGCGTTCAGACTGCCGAAGAGTTACTGCAACATCTTTTTCTTTTTATTGATGCTTGAGTTTTGGATGTACATAATAGAATAGTTTAGCCTGATTCACTTTATTAGTTAATTGATTCTTTTATACATCTTTTTCTTTCTATTGATGCTTGAGTTTTGGATGTACATAATAGAATAGTTTAGCCTGATTCACTTTATTAGTTAATTGATTCTTTTATCCATATTTGATGTATAGTGAATCAAAGATTCATCTGACAATTAGATTTTTATGTGAATGAAATACGATTAATTCTTTCATCATCCCATGGTTTAGTAAACCATATGTCTATGTGTGAATCTCTAAATCTGTGATGATCTTCTTTGTGTTATTTAGTCAAATTTCAAATGGAAGTT